TTTTTTTTTTTTTTTTTTTTTTTTTTAATAGTAAGTCGTAACATAATCACTTTTTTCTCGCATCGACAGTGGAGATGGTCGGCTACATATTTCGGCGCGGCGCGTGCCAGAAATAGACATCTGTATCCCTTGTGTCGAGCACGACGCAGGGGGTGCAACGACATTTAAAACATTCTGCATCGGCACAAGAGAAAACACCCTCAGTTCGTTTCAAAGTGCTCGTGGATGTGGTTCTCTCGAAGAGACGTTCTCTTCCTTCTCGTTTAATATATTTATCGATTAAGCGACAATCTCGACAGGTTGAAGCGTGTAATGGATCATCGAGTCGATTCATCCTCTGCCTTGTAACGATGCGAATTAATCGCCGTTTAACCAATTAGGGTGAATCAAGAGTCTGGGTGTACACGAGACGGTTTTAATGATTCTATCAATCGTGGCATCCTACGTACGTTTTGGCAACGAATAGCACGTGGAAACAAAGATCGTTGAGTTGTCGAGTCGACGAACGATATCATGGTTAAAAACGGAACTGGCCCCGTGATCCGGATGTCCTCTACAGGCACGCATGCCGCTGGAGGTGTCGAATGTTGCTTTTGCAGATGTTGCACGTGTATACATCTGGAATTTTTAAAAACATTGCCTGGTGTCCTAAAACTCTGCGAAACGGTAATCCTTTCGATCATAATTATACGTTCAAAATATGATAATCAATTAAACACATTTTTCTTCAGATTATTAGCGGTTTAATACAGAGTTTGTTAATTAATTACGGTCTGAGGTACAGTACGACGATTGGCTCGGCTTTCGAAGGATCTTTGACCACTTCTTCCGCTTGTTTCTTAACATCAGCTGTATTACTTGCCTGTTATATCATATCCGAAAAATCGTACAGGTTAATCAAATCATCGCTGTTTGTATGTTGAAATTATATTATTTAAGTGATTATCGTTGTATAATGAATCGATTAATTATAATTTATGTTTTCTTTTTTTCTAGGAGCTGATGTTCAACTCTTTAGCTTCTTTTCTTTATTTAAGCTCGGCTTCTTATTTGGCATTTTCTACCAAGATATTCCTTCTTCCAGAATATTATATAAGGCCAGGATTCGATGTTTATCCTGCAATGACAGCTGCTTACGTACGTGCGCTTATTTTATATTATTTATAATTTACTTTCTGTATTACAATCATTTCTCGAAACATCATTGTATCTTTACAGATTATGAGTGGCTTTGTTGGAATACTGCATGGGGCAGACGCATATTTCTCTTACACCCATTACAGGACCGGAAGATGAATTTCAGGGGGAACGAAGTACGTATAAAAATGTCACACGATTCGTCATCGAATCAAGGCTCAAATACAATATATAAAGTGAGTAAAATAATACCAATCGTATATCCTTCGAATTATATTCGAAATTTTTTTAAAAATTGATTTGTGTTATACAGTTTATAATCAATTGGAATGAAACGAATAATTTAAAAAAAATATATATTTATATTTTGAATTCACAATTGGAAATATTATTAATTAATAATTATTATTTATATTTAATGTGCACTCCAGCATTCCAAATTATATGTAACAAACAAAATGTATCAATCGACTATTTTATTCACATTTAAGTATCATTATTTGTAATTATTTTAATAAAAATAAATATAATAAAAAGAAACACTTTTTGGTTTTATATTTTTAATATTCGCTAGAGCTTGAAAAGATTTTAACATATCTAAATTCTCTGCATATCTTACATACATAAACTTGAAATCTACATATACTATATATAGAAAAAAAGAATACAGATATGTTAAAATCATTTTAAGTTCTAAATACGAATATTTATCCTACACATATCCTACACATCCTTTCCACATATTTTTATTATATTAGGATTAAAACTATTAAGAAAATGAGTAGATTTTGAAAATAATATAATAGATAGATAACTGATAGGTAAGATAAATAAAAAATAGGAACAAGTATAGAAGTAAGAAAGGTAAAGATAAGAATTAGTACAGTTTAAAAAATATTAAAAAATATTTCTATTAATAAATACATCATTATAAAAATATAATGATGTATACCACTTGTCAAATTATATTTTTTTAATAGAAAAAACCAAGATATTAATATTAGATATAGAATATAGTAAAAAGAAAAAACATTCAGAACGTAAATTTATTAATTATTATAATCCTTTAAAAGAAAACTAAAAAAATGGAAAAAATTTTGTCCCATCAATACTATTTGCCAAAAATTTAATGACTACGAATTTTAGAAATTCTAAAAAATAGATGCCATTCTCAGGGAATTTGATCTTATTTTCAAGAATTGCCGAACAAATACCTAGAAAAATTTTTCGACCTATGATCATATCATGTTCTTCTAAAACAAAATCGAATTTTTAGTCAAAAGTTTCGTTCGTTCGAAATTCAGTAGGAAACTTCCAAGAATTGGTCGTCAGTTCCAGGAATTTTTAAATTCTACGAATTCGAACTCATTTCCAGGAATTTTGGCGATTCCGAGAATTTGACGTCATTT